AATAAATAAATAAATAAATAAATAAATAAGCTCAGAAGCTAGTGCAATTCAAAACCATATATACATTAGGTCGGAAGCTAACACGTAAACTAAAAGATTAAAGCTAAGCTGAAGCAGCTAAAATGGCTGAACGTCAGACATTGTTCAAAATTACCATTCAAGCTGGACAGAACTCACTCCAGAGCACCAAGTATGCATCATCATTTACCCAGAATGCTTTGCGCCATAAATAACATGGTGACGTCCATGTGACAAAATAGTTTTATTAAATTATATAAACTAAACAGCCTGCAGTATTTTTACAGTTGAAGTAAATTTATCAATGTCTGAAGTTACAACTAGTCTGGGTTCTCTTCAGATGGTCTAGCCCCGCCCTCCCTGACTGAGCCGGTACACCTGTACTCCCAATTTAACCAAGAAGAGACGTCAAATTTCAGCCTGAATTATACCAGTAGCTCAACTGAAGGTCAGAGTAAAACTATTTAATGTATGAAAAAGTGTTTTTTTTTTTAAACAATACCTGCCTGAAATGTTTTAAAAAAGCAGCAAACGTCTGTTGCAGGTTTGTGGACTGTGTGGTTGGATGGTAGCGGTTGTGACAGCTGCACCCAAAAACAGCTCAGACCTGTCAACCTTTGGCTCAGACGGACTGGAATGACCAGCAGAGCTCAGCCTGAGGCTCCCAGACAAGAAGGGTAAAGATCTGAGGTGCAGCAGCAGCCACGTGATCCACCAAAAAAATAAATCAACACGGAGAGGAAAACAATGTTCCTCTCTGCCAGCTCTCACCACAACAAGAACCACAGAAAAACAAACAAATTTAGAGAATTTATACTCCCMAAGGGGCGAGAAGCAGAAAAGAAAAAATGACAGGATCTTAACTAGAGAGCTGAAGTGAAAATTTACACATTCAACTAGAGATGCACCGATTCATCCAGGTCTGCCACACCTGATCGAAGCTCCATTACCCAAAATAACAAGGTTTTTACAGCATTCAAGCACTTTCAAGGTGAGATATCAGCTTTTTCCAGCACCTTACCTACATAAAGGTAGCTAAATAAACCACTACATTAACTGACTTCTAAATCWGACATTTTAAAAGAACCAACATATTTAAAGAAATTAAATCAAAACTAGATTTTCTTTGTGAAAATCATCTAAAAGCAGGAAAGAAAATTGAGAAATTCAGACTTTCTGCCAAGTTAAAGTTGTTTTATCATCTTACTGAAAAAAGAAAAGATTAAAATCTGAACAAACAAAAATAAACACTTGTGTTTGTGAAATAATCATTTCTGCTGCCAAGATTTGTTGTTTTTGCAATAAAAACATGTTTAATAAACGCCTCTTTCCATTTAGAACCAGCTCCAAAACCATTTAAACGTGAAAAAGTTTCTCTTTAATTTAATCTAAATTATTTCTAACAAGCAAACATTTGACTGTAAAGGTTGTGATTCATTAAACTAAATATAAGCTTTATTTTAGTTCACAACACTTCATTTTTTTTTTTTTTGTAAATTCTGAGCTTTTTTTTGGTTTAATAAAAGTCTAAATAAAAAAAACAAACCAGTTCTTCTGAGCTTAAATGATTCCAGTTTATATWAGAGAACAAAATGCACCAAATCTTGAACAGGAAATTGTTTCTGTCAGTGAAACAAAACGTTATGAAATTAAAACAGTTTGAATATTATTTAGATAAATTTCAGTTCTCAGGCGAGCGGAAAGCCGGCGCGGATCTGAGCAGCCGCGGCGAGGCCGAGAGGCTGCTGACGGAGAGGGTGACAGGAGCGGACGGCTGACGGGAGCCGGGAAACGGGAGGAAGAGGAGGAAGAGGAGGAAGATGGAAAGTGGCGCTTACCCTCAGGCTCTGGCAGTCTGGCAACGCTGTCCTGCAGGAGGCAGCGTCTGAACGTCAGCGTCTGGCAGGCCTGGTATGACAACACACACCTGGAAGGAGAGCCGCGACAAATACATTAGGAGGCTGGATGACACACACACACACACACACACACACGAGAAGCTAAAAGTTTAGCGGAAGCAGCGCTGACGTGCGACTGACGGGCACAGGGATGGGAAACCCGAGCCCAGCAGAGGCGCCGCCGGCAGAAAAGTCTGACAGATTTAGAAGAAGATGGCGCTCTGGGTAAATATGCAAACGGTGGGCGGGTTGATTATCGCTCTCTGACAACAAATAATCTGTCAACGAAGGCTTTAAAGGGATCCCTGATTAGTGTTAACATTAGACTTTATTTGATAAACATTTATTGTAACTGTAAAATAAAGACTGTAAAAAGCCTGTTTAGTTT